TTTTTGGTTTTTGTTTTTTTTTTTTTTAGATCTTTCTGTAGCGGCTTGTTGGCCGGGGCCCTTGTGGCGTTCATCGAGGGGCACTTGGATCCTCTGCAAATCTGGGGAGGTGACATGGCAGGAGAGAGGCGTGCGGGACAGGGGGAGGGTTCCAGATTTGTTTGGTTTTGTGCAGCTTTTGAGGTATTTTAGGAACCATTTTTCAGATTTGAGGCAGCTTCTTCAGCACTGAGCCATAATGCCTACAGACATGAATAGTTTAATACTTAATTAAATTCTTAATTAAATTCTCCTAGTGCTATGAAGGTTGAAAGGTCGTTATCAAATACATCGTTGAAACTGCACGTGCTGGGGGAAGAAGTTAACAAAATGTGTTTACAGGCGACGAGCTACCAAAGTTTGGTCCCCGTAAATTCTGGTTCAGGCTGTGGTCGACTGAGCCTCCCTGAGTTTGGTCTTGCCCTGATTTGTGCTACTAAAACGCAGTCCCCTCGCCCATGGCAGCTGCTCTTGTGAGGTGTGCTGCGGACTGACGCCTGGGCGCGCGTTCGCAGGACGGAAGAGGCAAGTAGCTGCCCGGGACCGTTGCTCCGCGTGCCGCTGTTGGTCACCAGCTGCACTTAGGCTGAAAAAAGAGGGGAAAATCCTCTGCAGTCCTAAAAACTGTCAGCCTTTCCACTGACACCTGGTCGTCTGTGTCTGGCTGCCTGTTTCTTCTCCTCCCCCTAGAACTGAGGTACGGACTAGCTCAGGGTCTGGTAACCAGAAGAAAGGCAGATCCTCCAAACTCTCCGTTACGGCGTTATTTACGCACCTGGGAAGAACAACGGCTTCAGTTTCCATACAGCGTTTTATATCTTAACACAAACGGACAACCCCCAAACACGCACAAAAAACACCCCCTTGGTTGTGATGTTGTCTCAGTTAACTCTCTATAAGTGATTTTGTTTATTTGTGGTAGGTCGAACTTAGCAGATTTTAGTGAGTTGTTGGGCTCGTGCGAAGGAAAAATTGCCTTTAATGGGCAGCTACTGACTCCTGTAACAACCCAGGAGCTGTGCGGATGTCTAGGAGCTGGCAGCTTAAACCAGTCCGATGTTGCATACAACTCTAGACTAGTTGCTGGGGGCAGGGGGGGTTGGTTTGGATGGAAGTAGGAGGCATGGCTTCTGCACGGTTGGTGTGGGCGCGGAGGCGGTGCGCCGGGGGCCGGGGCTGCCTCCGCACCCGGCGGGCGGTCCAGCGCTCTCTTGGTGCAGCTCATCGTCTCACTCGCACTGGTAACAGAAGTATATAGCAGAGTTGCTGGTGTGTACTTTTTTAAATAAGAAAATGAAGTTCTTTAGTACGTTCCATTCCAGGGTAAAATCTATTTTACTTTAATTCTTTATTAAAATTTGACTTGGGGAGGACGGGATGGATGGTAGTATCTGGTTTGAATTGAATGTGAACAACTGAATATAGTTTAAATATAAAATTATTTAAAAGGAAACTCTGAATGTGGAACATGGATGGATTGCGTGACTCTGAATTTATTGCACCCCAGATCCAGGAGAGGTCTGAAAGTGCTTCTAGGACAGTGATTAGAAGGATGGTTTAAAGTGCTCTCCCCTCTGCATAAAGGGGTGCTGCTGGATCCCATAACAATTCTGTCTCCAGACAAACAGAACTATGTTAATCTCCAAAGTTCAGCAGCTATCTTAATCTAAGGATATAGATAAAAATAGAAATATAGGAAACAAGTTTGCACTAATTCTCAAGTTCCTTCCCTCTGATCTAGATAAGGCAGGAATTTTTGAGTCTAGTGGCTTGGTTTGTATTTGCTTTTAGTTTTCTTTCAATTCTTAAGCATTCTTAATATCATAAAATATGTATCCTAGTAGATCAGAAACAGTATATTTATTGGCTTAATGTTTTAAAATTCATGTTGCGTTCTCTGGTTGTTTGAATTTCTTCCTCATCATACCTCTTGGAGAGGCAAAATATATGCCTGAGACTACATCAGCACTCCCTGCATGACACAGAACTTGATTGCTTTTTAATCTTTCGCTGTGCAAATTCACTAATAACCCGGTTATTTTGCATCACATAACCGCAAGATAGAGATATGCTCATGCACTTTCTGTGCAGAAGCTGAGCGTGAGTGTGGTCAAGAAACCACAAAACTGGTGATGTTAGAAGTTGCTTACAATGTCAGAAACCTTTAAGTCCTTTACTGTTCTGAATAATCTCACAGAAGTGGCTGTGCTTTAAATTGTACCCCAAACTACTATAAAGTAGACCCCAAATCTTGTTTCTCTGTCTTCCAAAGCTGTAGGCCTGCCTCGAGGAGGGTGCACGCACGTGCGTGTGGTGCTGAGGGAAGAGGCCCCCGGGCGGGGAGCGGTGCGTGACTAGCTCTGCAGCCTCAGGGAACCTGTGCCGGCGCCCTGCGGAGAGGTGCTGAAACCCCAAAGCGCAGCTGGTTATCTCTGCCTTGCCAGATGAGCATGGGAGGAAACATTTGAAAGCAGCTATTGTGAACGCTTGCATGCTCACTGGTCTGGAAACTTCCTAGATAGCATGCACTACTGGCTTAGGATAAAGTCTTTCTGCAATTTGATTTTTCTGTTGGCAAGTATCTCGCTGTCCACATGGCCCCATTTAACAGCTGGAGAGAGCCATAAGACAAAACTGTTTTTCTGAAAAATCTATCTGGCTTTTCTGCATAGTTGGAAAGCCAGGCTTGCCCTGATTAAAAACAAACTTAGATACATTTCAGACTGAGGAGGAAAGACTTGTGTCTGCATGTGTCCTCTGAAGAATTACTAACAAGTCAGCTGAATTTTGCTACGTTGGTTTTATTTGCTAGAAAAAGCTGTTTCTTGGGAGCTATTAACTTTATAAATCAAGTTGCTGCTAACATCACTAAAAATTTCTTACTGGCATTGAGCTACTGCTTGTCACAGTTGCATTGTATTTTAATGTAAGTGAAGTGTCTGGAAAGCGATTTTATTGTTTACTCTTATGCCTGTGTAAATAGCTAATTTATCCTAATGACTGGATGGGACATAATTGAAAGTGAGTTTTCAGATATGTCATATGTGTATTAATTGTGCACATGAGCTGGCCACCAGGAGGACTCTTGTCTGCTAGATCCTCTTAATACTGGTAAACATCGTTATCTTTTCTAATGAGCCATGATGACTGAAAGTTGTACTGTTTTACTCTAAATGTTGTGGACGCCTTGTTACCAAAACTATCCTCCCTGAGTATTTTAAATAGAAAAATAATGCTCATGCGACCTCCAGAGCTGTGCAACTGCAAGGTCCAGCATTTTTTATGGCTTATGTCACTGGGAAAGGAGGCAGTGTGGGTAGGCCTGGGACAGTGTGTTAGGAAAGCTGGACTTGCATCAAAGGTCAGCGCCTGCTTTACCTGCTGGGTGACCCTGGAGAAGCGGCTTTGCTTCTGTGCGTTAGGGCAATGAGAAACGGTCGCAAGAGCGGCTATCCTGCAGCGTTGAAACGTCACCAGCATCGTGCTACCGGAAACCCTGCACTGCGCTAAAGCCAGCAAATATTTCCATGCTTTCTTGTTGACAAGATAAATATGGAGGAGGAAAAACTGAAATTTAACTTTTAGGATATATAAAATGTTTTTACATGGTGGAATTGCTACCCATTTTCTTGTGAGAGTGAAATTATTCTTTAGCAGACACTGTATCAAACTCAAAACATGCTATTATACAGACAGCATGTGACAATTGGCAGCATATTTTTGGATTAGTATTGTGCTCATTTTTGTTTGAAGATACTTAAATATTTAATAATGCGTCTTATAAGTGAGGATTTAAATTTAGGTAACCAATAGGTTCATTAAAACTGTACTATCTTCTACAGTTGGTTTGTTCACCTCTTTCAGCCACTCGTTTGTGGCTTGATAAGTTTGCAAGTGAAAAATAACCACAGGACAAGTTTAGCCTGGATGAAACAACTTTTTTTTATTTTGTTTATTAACGCAAGCACATCCAATCAAACACAGAATATCCTGCTTTATGGTACAGCTTTATATTTAGCATTTCAGCTCAGAATAGCAAACCACAGATCTAAGGAATGTATTAAACTGAGGGAAGAAAAATAAAAAGGAACCAATGTAGATACTGCATTGATTTCAAGTATATACTAGGACTGATTGACCAGTGAAGTGCACATTCATGTGAAAGCTTTTTTTAATACATTTACAGAAAGTGTTCTAAAATTGCATTTCAAATATATATTTTTTCTTAAATTTTTTTTCTTAAATTTTAAGCATCCCTTTTAAATTTCAATTACATAAACAAAGCTGATATACAATCCCTTTTATAGTGTCTGACAATGTTACTAGCTAGAACATCTCTGAAAGTGCAAAACACTGTAATAATACAGTATAAATATTCTTACTCTAATCCGGGGCTGAAGGTCAGTACTTCAGCACAGGAAAAATAGCAGCAGATCACAAGAACTATCCCCTCTCCTTTTCTGGGCTGTTCTTGTCAACAGTTAGTATTCCTTCTCCTTTTCCATGGCATTTATCTAGTATGTTTTTGTTTGTTTGTCTTTGATTTCTGTTCTACAGGAATAGCAAAATGTCCCCCCCCCCTTCCTTACCCTAGCTTACTGTTCTTATTTTAAGTGTTTGTCAAGGGAGGGGGGTGGGAAGGCTGAGAGGGAAGGCTCTTTTATTTTCATTCTGCTGCAGGGCTCACACAGCAAACGATTACTACCTGGTGAATGCAAATGCTACATGAAACCAACGGGACTGCTCATGATTGTAGGCCTTCAGTGAGAAGAGTCTATGGGACTGGAACGAACCAGACCTTTGGTCCAGCTAGTCTTGCCCCTGCTTTCAACAGAGGGCAGAAAAAGATATATTAAAGAGGGCTGCAACCCACCTACTCAGAACTGGCAGTTTTTAAAGAAGCTTGCACAGAGGTCCTCTGTGAGGCTCTAGTAAAGAGGCAGTAACCATTTCAAGCTTTAGAGGGCTTTGAAAAAAATTCTTCTCTGATAAAACTGTCTGGATCAACTCATTATCTTTATAGATATCCAACCCTGAAGCCATAAGAGAAGAATTGTTGGAAAGGATAGTGGATATTCATGGCTAATAGCTCATTAAACAAAACAGTTTTTAATTTGAGCCTATTTTCTTTTTTCCTAACTCAGAGATCAAAGGAGGAGAGGAAGGAAGTCCTGAAATGTGTAATCTTTCCTGGAAATGGATAGCTTACATCTTAATATAAGATTCTAAGTTATGCTTATTATGATAGCCAAATTAGCCATAACCTCGAGGTTTAAAAGGAGAAATTAGAAACTGGGCTTACACATCATCTGTAACTCTGATACTGATATGGGTTCAAAGGCTTGATCTAATTCCTGTGATGTTTTTCCCATAGATTTCAATGTGTTGGCCTGCGCTTTTAATTAGGGCTTTCAGAATACTAGAATATGTTTATGATGTGAGAAGTTCTTTGTTTTAATTGTCTGTTAGCATAGACTAGCGTTTTTAAAGGAACCAAGGGAATTAAAGGCCCAATTCAGTGGAGCTGGAGTATTTCAACTCTTCTTAAGTTTCTTTGGAAATCTTAGCCTTAGCTTCAAATTTGATATCTGAGTTTAGTTCCCTCTCCTAAACTCATGCATGACTTTTTGCAAACAAATTTTTGGAGAATAAAACGCATCAAATCTGTTTTGCAGAGATAATCTAGGTTAGGCATCCTTCTCTTAATAGTAATAATAAAAAAAAAATTCCCTGATTTTTAGAAAAGGAAAACACAAACTATTTTGACAGCCAGAACTTAAGGGATAGTTCCCAGGAGTATTAAAACTTAGGCATGCGTGCATCTTCACACATGCACGCACACATACACGCACACAAACGCACATCCCCCAGCAGTTACCCCATCTCACCTCTTTAAATCACGTAACAAAAATATGTTTGCTGCACCATCAATGTTACAGGCAGGTATACTCTACTTCATGTGCCATATCCTCCATTTTATTTAAAAAGTACATTGTAGCTGGTTTTGAGACATCCATATTTTTATTTTCTTTCCTTCCAGTCCAGCGTAATAGAAGGTACACTAAACAATGTCAGTACCTTTTAAGGCACTATTTCCTGATGTAGGAGAGGGACATGCTTACTGCAGATGTCTAGGGCCTTGACTCTACAAACACTTAATCATGCATGTGAACAGCCTCACTGATTTGAATGAGACCCTTCACTTCAAAGCCAAGGAAGTGTATTGAGTGTTCTGTAGGTTATTGGTCCAATGGAGTATTTAATCTGAACGCTGGCTGTAGCTGAGATGCATGTTTTAATTCTTTTTTGGTGGAAGTAGTGAAAAATAAAAATTTGGATGCCATAGAATAAAACCTCCCCAGGGATACCATCTCCCATGATACACTTCATCTCTGAGAACAGGGCCCTGCCCTTGTATTAAAATAAAAAACCAAAACCCTTCACTTAAGTGCCTTTAAGGTTGACATGTGAAATATTTACCACGTTTTAGTCATAAAAGGTACTATATATACAAAAGAGACCTCAGCCAGTGAGGTCTTTCTTAGCTCAACCCAAGTCCTTCAGGTTTTAAAAACACGTTCTTCCCGTGTGCTTCAAAGTCTGCAGATCAGATCTCAAAATCTCAGGCTCTATTAAGCAGAGTTGTCCTAGAAAAAGAAGTAACAAATAAATAAAACTAACCTTTCTGTCATGACAACAAATTCTATAGTTTTGGTAAAGGTCGGCAACTGTACATATGTTATATCAGTAGCTGGAAGTCTTTCTTCAAGGGCTAGATTTTTAAACTGCTATAAACTGAATTTCCTCTATGAATAAAGATCCTGATTTAATATGAAATGAAAATTTCACCTTCCTAACATTGCTTCAGGTCTCATAGGATGCACTCAGGTAAATAATGTACCTTCCTCTATCATCCTTACTGATGCTTTGATGAACAGCACTGGATTTAACATAAAGTATATTGTTTTGCATGGGTGTCATAACTAAAAAGCTTAAGTGAACTTCCTAAAAAACACTGGGATCATTGTCTCCTCTAGTATAATATAGTCATAATGTAGCTCAGCTGTAACTCTGGACACATCAGCTTCTTTAGTCTTTCTTTATCTGGTACTGATATGTCAAATCTAAATGTTTAACAGCATTTGCAAAGCTTTACGTTTCTCCTTCTGTGTTGGCCTGAGTATTAGGAGAGCCCTGATCTTTAACTGATCTTATCATGTACACGGAAAGGCTGCTTCCCCCTCTAAAGAAGCGAGGAGGAAACATTCCTCCCTTAAAAAGTAGACTGCAAATGAGGGTGTCCATATCACAATTTCTTCCCTTTAGAAAATCTGTAAGTACAAGGGTATGATGCATAATAGCGCCTTCTCACTATCTGTACATATTTGTTCTCCTAATAAAAGTACTTCTGTAAACTGCTACAAAGGGAGACTGTTCTGTTGTATTTGACAGCCTAAACAAAGCATATTCTCTTTAGTGGTCTGAGCAGTGATCTTATAGTCTAAACTGGCTGGAAAAGCTCTTTCAAAATCCAAGTTCTACTGCATTTTCTCAAATTTGAGTTCTGGAAGGGGGCGAGGGGGAATAAAAACCCAGCGTTACGTTTGGGCCAAAATAGTACTCAAGCTGTGTATGCAAACAGGAGGGAACAAGTTGAATTCTTTATACCCATTCTACAATGCAATCGGGGCTCAGATGAGATTGTGAGTTGAACACAAAAGTGTTACACAAAGTGATTGCTTGTCTGTGTATGTCTGCAAAAAGATTCATTGTTCTGAATAGACTTCATACCTCAGTGTTTTCCAGCTGTCTTTTTCCATGTGATTTTCTGGCCCTTCACTTTCAAAGGATGCAATAAACAAAGCTAGGCAATAAAATAAAAACAATCAGATTTACAGGTTCTTTAACTTAAACTGCTTGCTATATTATAATTATTTTTTTTAACAGATGTGAATAATGAAGTTTGTTATCCTCATTTGAAGCCAACGTGAGAAGTGATAGTACACACTTCTCATACTTCTCTTGCCTGTTAATTCTTTCATCTTCATGCCCTGTCTGCACTTCCACAAGTGGAAAGACTCACTATAATATTCAATAGGGGACTTTACCTTCTTCACTGTAAATGGGTGCTGTGAGCAGATAACTCTGGATCTTCTTATCCTTTTCAAAAGGGCACTCGACCTGCTTCCATGTCATGAAATCATGAATCTGTCTTGAAATTTCCCAGAATTTCTGTATATGGTAATTAAAAGAATATTATTACAATCATATTTGTTTTCTTTTTCAAATACTAGTTCTTTGGTTTCAATTTCAGGGCCCCTCCATCTTGCCCTCTTTCATGCTTCTGCTCTTATTATCCCTTACTCCATCTTCTTCCTTGTTATCCTCTCTTCTTATTGCTTCCTTCGTCTCCTTCTCTTGTTCCTTATCTTCTGTTAGTCTCTCAAATTTACAACGGAGTTCACTCACCAGTTCTTTCATTCAATTCTTTTTCCAGTCATCAACTTTATTCTAATATACAATAGATTAAAGGAGAATAAAGTGCTGTTGGCCCATTTTGTGTGTCCTATTTCTAAATTAACCTGCAAGTGGAACTGGTCAGAAAATGTTTTTTATTGATTTTACTTTTTACATTTCCAACTTTGAACTTAAATGAAATATGATGCACCTGATTTGTTCCTAAAGCACTTTTTATAGTTAAGAAATAATCAAAATAATGTATAGGAACTGCAGATATCATTCCTCCCTAGGGTTTTAGGAAATGTATAACTATTTAGGGTTTGTTTTGTGTATTTTACCCTCCATGATCTTAATAAAGGCAAAAGTTTGAAAGGATGTTGACAGGCTGCAGTCCCTTGAACATGAATGTTTATTACTCCGTTGATGGGGGAGAAAAAACACAAAATTGGTAGAAATTTTGCTACATAGATCTTATTTAAGAAATCTATCCTTTTCAAACTGGACTAACAAGCAGGCATTCAGGAGTCAAGTGCTATTTTTAATGAAACTCAATGTTGTCCACTTGAGGAAAACCTGGATTGTTCCCAGACTAGCACTGAAAATAAAACCTGCATTTTGTTTTCTTGTTATATGTGCAAGACCAAATACAACTAGGTTATAAGCAAAAGAATAGTAGCTTATATTTCTGTATATTATTATTTTTTCTTACCGCTTATTCTCCAGATAAAATTAGGACTTGAGAATCATCTAATCCTTCAGAAGTTAGGAAGATCCTCTTGCTTTAGAAAACGTGTGCTTTGTTTTTTTAATAGTGAAAAATTGGAACTATTTACAGCAGAGGGACTTTTTAAATAGTGAGAATTATGAAGATACCTACCTTCTCTAATGTATGATTTCCCCACAATGGATAATTTCTCATTGGCCTTTTTAATGAACAGCAAGCTTTCAAGTCTTTGTTTTTCCTTGTTTGCTCTACTAGACTGCAATAACTTCTGTTAAACTTCTCTCCTGATGCTATATTAAGCTTCTAATTAGAACTGCTGCTCTTGACCATCGCACTCTTTTTCCATATATTTAGTAATTCTTTGTAAAGAAATAATTCCTTGGGGCTGTGACCTTTATGTAGCTTTCAAAGCCCCCTCCCCTCCCCTTTGCATCTGATATTTGATACTAGTGAACATAATACTGTAGATGCTATCCCTTCCCTGTCCCTTTCTTAAATCTCCAAATGGCAGAACATCTCCACTAATGAATGCCGAAATAATGTATGCTTAGTGGTCTTACCTTTTATGTTTACAGACTTGGGAGATTCTTAACCTCTTCTGCAGTTGTTTCCTCTATAGCAACCTGTACCTCCAGCTTAAGATTAGCTTAGAATTCTAAATTGTTCTTCAACATAAATGTACATCAGCTTTTGGAAAAAGACAGCTGTGCATTCATATTTTTCACTTACTAGAAGAGTAAATTGTGCATTTCTTCAAAGACAAGAACCCTTGAAGACTTGTTAAATAACATTTGCTGGTTGTGTGTGTTGTTTGTAGCTAGCTAACCCAACGAGAACAACCCTGAAGATTTAGAGTGAAGTGACTGTTACGGTTTGATCAAATAAAAGCTTGCTGCCACCAAAAGGCTTGCCTTCCATACTTTACCTTCCTCCCTGCTTCTCCCATTCCCTTATGAACATAAGGCAGGAGCAGAGGTGAGGAGGGATAAACTCTTCTCTCTGCCATCATACCTCATCCACCAAAATTCTTGTACTTCTTGATTTCAAGTTCTTTCCCTTATTTTAAATGTTGCATGGACACAACTTTCCTTGAAAAGATTTCCCTTTCCAATTTGCTAATATTGGACTATTTCTGTTTCATTTAAGTAATTTCTAATCGTTGGGTTTTGGCCTTTGAAATTCTTATTTTCTTCTCAATCTTTCTGTATGCCGGTTTTGGTAACCAATTAAAATTACTAAAATCATTTCTACTTGTATGTATTTTATGTTTTGCAGTGTGTTTTGTCTCCTGCTTCATGTAAAGCTAGGAAAAATTGATCACTATTTCAGTACACTTTAAAAGCTAATCTTTTTAATGAAGGCAATTACATTCCAACAGTTTTATGTATCCTCCTCTGCATACGCAGTGGTCATCTGCGGGATATGCAACATAGATATTGTAACTGCAGTGCTAGCTTTCAGAGGAATTTGGTATCAAGACCTTAAAATCCTTTCCTCTATATAAAAATATCTCTCTGTCTAGATTACAGCAATGCTGAATAATTTAAGGGACTTGGTGAGATAACAAGCTGGAAGTTCAAAATTGCCAGTAAATTGTTTGACTAGCATTACAGTTTCTATAATAGCAAAGTCCTACCTTGAAGTTTATCTGCCCATTGGGCAAGCGGTTTGTATGTATTTTGTGCAGAAAGTAGATATCTTTAATGAATAGGTTGAAAACTGGGATAACAATTTTCTCTCGATTGCTGTTGGCAGTCTGAGATCGCTGTGCTGCTCCTTGCAGGGCTGTGCGGTAATTACAGAAGTTGCTGGATGGATCCATGTGGTGCTGTTTTTATGTGGGCAGAAAAGGCAATCAAGTGTTACATGGTTAAATCAACACCTTTTGTATTTATGAAACAAGAGAGAGGTTATTCTTTATGACTTCTTTGGGCCCCTTTTTACACTTTCAAGGTAGACTATCTCAAACTGATGAGGTTTGGATTCAAACTTTATCTAATTCCTGTCCTGTTTGAAAGGAGGGTATTGCACTGACTTCGCATCTACGTTTTGTCTCTCAATAGTGAGCGGAAGACTGAAAGGAAATAATAAATGACTGTCGGGGAAAAACAATTAGAATTCTAATTTGCTGTCACCAGTCTTGGTTTGTTGCTGATTTCAATTACCTTTGTTTTGATCCAGATCTCCACTAGATGGAGTACTTTAATTAGATTTAAGGGTAGCAAAAAAGCATTCATTTGCATGAAGAGTGAAAATAAATGCTCTGAACAGTTGGGAACGATCTTGATTTTTCAATTGAAAAAATATGCTAGGAAGGAATAACCTAAAGCAAACTTGCATCAGCTTTTCCTTGCACCCAAGTAGAGATTTTGAAATTCAGGAAATGCTCTCCCTGATGTTTATATGCCGGTTACCATTGACAGAGGTGCCTGTGATCTTTAGCTTATACTGCATCCGCACCTCTCCTTGCAATTACTATTTGATTAATTTTTTTTTTTAATTAACCAAGTCAAAACTTTATATGTACCTCTAAAACATCAAATTTGGCTGTTTTGACCTTGGACCAAGTTTTCTTTAGCCGTGCCACAGGACTCAAGTTCATGCCAGCTGAATGGAGAGAAAAGAGACAAAAACAGCTGAGTTAATATATAGGGCCAACACAACTCTACCTTGTGTGTGTATGTCAGCATTACACACTTGCGCTTTGGAAGGCAGTTCAGCTTGAGAAACAAAACTTGTAGCTAACGCCCACTGCATTAATCTGTCACTGGTACCCCTGTAGGAGTGTGCATACTGATAGAGTCAGCCAATTTATGGCAAGTATGAGCGCAGCTTTGCCAATCGGGTTGTAAAATGCAGAGCCTTTGTCATCTATGCCACGGTAACTCACAGATAATAGCCATCATCGAGTTAAAGTTTCCAATATTGAAGCATTCTCTTGCCACATCAATAAAAAATTCCACCATTCTTGTACGCTGCTTTTTCTTCACAACCTGAAACAAAAAAGATTTGTTAAGAGGGAAGGAATGGCCTGAAGTTTGGATGGGTAGGATGTTCAGTCAAAGGCATTATAGTCAGCTGATTGAACAGACATTTTAAGACTTCATCAAGATAAGAGATCTTACAATGATATAGGCCTTGGGGGTATTTTGTTAAGATTCCTCTTTTAATAGAATAGCAGCAGTATTTTGGGCTACTATCAGTCCAGCTGTGGGGGAGTGTAATTTTTTGTTTATACATGAAGTTCAATGTCTTAGGGAATCTTATCTAAACAAGCTGGACACTTTCTGCAATTTCCTCTTACTGGAAAAGGGAGAAAACATGAATCTGCTATCAGAATGAAGAAGGCATGCAAAAAATTTAAGCCTCGGGAGTAAAAAAAAAAAAAAAAAAAAAAAAAAAGCAAATACATATATATACACCCAGGGACAGAGTTACGATCAGGGATAAGTAGCCTGGATGTGAGAAACACAATTGGCAGGTCCTGATTTTCTCATTTTATACTGTACACTCTTAAATGATCTTTTGAGAGCAGGTAGTGATGATGGTAAATATACAGATTCCCACTCATGCGAACACTCAAGGTATCTAGCATGCGATGCTGGACATCTGTGTTGCCAGTTTTCTTTTACATCTGGCAAAGCGTAATTAATAGATAGCACTGTCGCCAAACACTCCTTCCAAAAGCTGTCAATCAATCCCTCTTTAAAAAGCTAGTATTTTCTCCTAGATTTCGTTTACTCATCAAAATCTTTCCTGTGTTTTGATCTAGAACTTTGGTCTAGCTCATATAAAAATGGCTCCTGAGTGGTGACCACAGAGTACTTCTTGACCAGAACTTTGTGTGTGTGTGTGTGTGTGTAGGATGCATCCAAATATCTAGATACCTTTGCTTATGTATCATATCAGAAGAAAATGGTTCAGTTGTGAATGGCTTGGCTTAGCCTTTGGTATACTAAGAATTTCTGTTTGTCTGCTTTAATAAATGTATTAACTATGTCAGATAACCCTGGAAGATGTTTTGGTTGTGTATTTGTAATATGGTTCTGTGGGAGCAGGAAATCTTCAAGATTAGGGTTAATAAATGAGACTTCATGAAACTGCAGCAAGCATCTGAGAGCTGGTTTCCACAGAGGGGCTACTGACCTTGTAGGAATAGAGACAAATTTCTGTTTTGCCAGAACTGCTGCATATTAATACGAATCTCAAAAGACAGAGAATACACATGCAAAAAAGGCTTATGGGGCAGTATATTTTTGGTTTCTTTGTTCGTTATAGATGGTAGAAGCTCTATGTAACTTTTAATATGGATGTTCTCCCTCTTTTTTTAACTTCTCTAATAGTCTACTGTTCTTCCACGTTTCTCAAGAAAAGATTTATTCCTGTTCTTTTTCCCCAACAGAAATGAATATATGGCAGCACTAATGATATCTAAATGCAGTGGAAGGACAGCAGTTTACAAAGTAAACCTGTGCTTCAAGATGAATAGTTTTGAGAATTGATGAATATATTATTTAAAAAAAAAAAAATCCAAATGAGTTCTGTGACTCAAATTTCACAGAAGTTCCATTTCACTGCATGACTGCTATTTCTATAGAAGCTACGCAAGGCTAGAGAATACACGAAAAGCTAAACGTAGCGCCATACGCACAAGCATGCAAATAATGTAAAGCTTGAGTAATGACATTGTCTTTAATAGGACTGCTAATATTTAAATCTCTACTGGACCGCTATCTACCTTTTGGCTTTAAGGATAGAATTATTTTGCCATCTTGTCTTCTACTAGTACCTACCCTACAAATTTCTGTAGCCACCAGCATGCTGAGACAGTTGAACCAATTGTCATAGGCCTCCAAATTGTAGGTTTTGGTAACATCGCCTCGGCACTGTAAGAGAAAAGACCATGTGTTAATCCTATCCTGTGTCATGATACAGTTAGCATACCAAAGGACAAACTTTTGTTTCATGTCTTGATAAAAATCTTTTTTGGGTATCTCTTAAGCGTGACCTCAAAGGTTGAGAAATGGCAGCTTTTCCTGCATGGAGAAAACTAGAACCATTCTTTATCCTGATTATTCTTTGTTTATTTTCCCTCCATACCCCTCCTTGTACCTTGTGATTATCCAGGGAGTCCATGTGGCTGACAATCTGCATCAGGTCCTCTGGGTAAATGTTGCTCACTCTTTCCTATGTTCAGGGAGATGAGAGATGTTGTCATTGTATAGACAGACAGTGAGTTCAGTGAAAAACACATTAATAAATCCAAGATGAGGCGATCATGTTGGTAACTTCCATCTTACTTCAGCCTTCTTTACTGACCTGAAGTTTTATGGTATAGATGTGTGAGGCTTTTTTTAATCAGGGTGCCTCATTGTTCTTGTTCACCACTTGGTATTTTTTGATTAAAATACAGAGGGCTTTCAGCGAAGCCTACAGCAAAGTTCATGTTGATGAGCATATCAATACTTAGTAAATGGAAAATGAAATAATTCACACAAGTTAATGTCTCACCAGTTCAATATGGGTCAGCTGCTGAGCCAAGACCAGAGGGTCACAGCACACACTCAGGATGTCCTTTTGAGTTGACTGTGGCTTATTTTTGAGGATGGTTCCTTTGTCAGCAACAGGTTGCCGGAATTTCTCTCTGATTTCTTGGTACTGACTCCGTGCGGAGAGGGCCATCAGGAGATTCTGTGTCATCTGGCTAATGATCTTTTTCACTGTTCCATTTTCCTAGGCAGAAGATGGAAACAATGACTACTGAAAAGTTTTAACTCTCTCACAGATGCTATCACCAAAGAATTTCTGACCGCGATAAATAAATGACTTTTATTCATTGTCTTTCATCTCATCAGAGCTGATTGTCCGTGAACAGGAATGAACTTGTATCCTAATTGCCCATGCAACTTTGTAACAAGACTGTTACGCCTGCCTTCTTTTCCAACTCTTGTTTCACTAGCTTGGTCTACTGCTTGCAGCAGTTTGTTTTGACTAGTAAGCCACTTCAAGGCCTCTGGGTCAAGGACTTAAAAATAAGTGTAGCGAAAGGTGGCTGCCGAGCTGCTTACCATAAGGCTTCTTGGATCCTCTGTACAGAAAGTGACAAAAAGCTCTTTCTCATTCTCATCAGACCCACTGATCAAGTCTATCTAGCACAGAAGCCACGGAATTCATGTTATATCTAGGAATATACTCCTAAAATATCCTGGCTTGGCACTGAGCTTCAAATAGCAATTATAGGTACATCCAAAGATTTAGGGAGGAGCCCAATAGCCATCATGTTCCTGGACAACTAAAATGCCCTTCTGCTTGTCAGGGGCAGGTTTTATATGTATGGTCTATAAGGAAACATAGTGTGGAAGTGACAGAAATATAATCAACACCATATTTTTTGGCAAATAGGCAAGCTGAATTCTTTCTGCCATGGACTGTCTGTGTCATATAGACACTTCCTTAGGAACCCAACCTCAAAGAACTAAATTTCTCTTTTTCACACCTTCATTGCTCCTGTAACTACTTTAAGTGACCCCAGATCTCTGACCTTGTTCTTCCTGCTGCTCATATAACTAATTCTGCCAAAGGTGGTCCTTCTCCTCTTCCCTATGCTATTGTTCTCTTCATTTCAACCAAATTATTCCTTTTGAAGTTAGCCAGTGTTAACTGTTAGTTCAGTCTGCTGCGTTGGTTTCAGCCAGTCAACTGGATGCACTAGAAAGAACTGCAATGAATCTGTGATTGTTCAAAGAAGCCACTAATGTGCACTGATGATTGAAATTATGTAGCAGATGTGAGAGAGGAGGACTACCAAATACTTGTATATTGCATGGTATAATTAAGCAATAACAGTGTCAGAATGTTGCTTTACAAGGCAATAATCTGACTCCCAAGTGGAATCAAATGAAAAGCTGAAGGCAGCGTAGCTCATCTTGATGAGGCAACTGGATTACTGCTAAACAGCAGCTGGTTGAAGCCGTTTTGGATATTGTGCTACAAGTGTTCAGAAATACCAAGGGAGAGTGTGTGTGTTTGGAGGGGGGAAGAGGGGGCTGAAATTTTAATTAATTCTCGTCTCTGATATGCTCAGCTTTATACTGTGAATCATTGACTTCAGTCACTATGCCTGACTTACACATGTGTCTGTGAGGAGGCAAACTAGATGTGGATCATAGGGAAGCAAATATGAAGATAGCTGAGAGTATCATAGATACTACATAAAAGTAAACAAAGAAATTGCAGTGACATGAAAACTATGATTTACCTAAACTGTTGTGAATTTAACAGTATCTTAATGTTTAGACAAATGCTCTTAGAGTTTTAGCTGTTTCCTTTCACTGGTAGTCTTACCCTAAATTTTCTTTCAACTTTGAAAATAAAGGCAAAACTTTCAGCTGGTCTGAGTAGGTTCAGTTCTATTGAGTGTGGCTTTCAATCTCAGTGAGCGTACAAGAATTTGTCCTTGTTTGACTTCAAGCAAGATGCTTTCACTCCACTTGGGGCTCAGTCCTGGCTATATGTATGTGATCAGCACTGGCACTGCCCTCATGAAGGTGCGAGTGTTCTCCTTAGTGGCCAAAGTGCATTTTGCTAGTCTCCTAGTGGTCAGATATAAATTAAACGCGAAGATTGTTGAGGGTCCACCTATGACTTGAGCACCTGTCTTGTGTGCTATGATCAAATGCCTCCTTTAGCTTTAATTATTCAGGAACTATAACCATTTGCTATGCTGTCTTATATCTCCAAGGCAAGATTAGGACGGCTCTGTGTGAGTTCTTTGTTGATCTCCTATCCCATATATGGAGAATAGTGTTCTACGGGGATCTGCAAAAGGTTTAAAATACAAAATAAGCCTCCTCCCGCCCCATAATATTCCCATAATCCCTTGCTGGAGCACAGTAATTCCTTAGAACAGAAAGGAGGAGGGTACAAATATTGAGAGCAAAAGCTGCTTTTTGTCAGTGTCAAATTACATTTCCTAGAGATCAGATGTGGCATAGCTCTTCACTGACCAAACTTGACTTGTAGCCTTGTTAAACAGATAAATACTATGACATTCGGATTAATGAATGTCACCAGAAACCTCAGGTACCAGAGCACTAAGCCACTCTATGAAGACTTTTTTTTTTTTTTTTTTTTTACCCAAATCACAATTTATTCATGCATAATAGACTGGGAGGGAAGAGGAAGAAAAGCCACAATGTTTTTCTAATTCAAAATAATAGGCAAATTAAATACACTAAATAAAAACCCTGCCATTTTGCAAAGTCACCTTTCACAGTAGTATCTCTGCTGATGTATACCTCTTCACCCTTGTCTATAAAGGGAACAGAAGGCATATCATAACACTATCTCCTTTTCCCCTCCTACTAAGGCACTGACACATCATAGTAGCATCCAGGTAAACTGCATTGCTGATGCAATAAAACTGACATACTTCCTTTTGACAACTTGGTGTAACACCTAATTGCATTGTGTCCTATCACTGATTCATACAATGCTGTTAAACCTGTTATTTTTTTGTTTCCTCTGTACTTGAATCAACAAAAACACATACACAATACAATTGTCTTCCCAGCTCCTGCTAACTATTCTTAAAAATATCCCAAAATTTTGGGGATCCCAAACACTGGGAAGCATCTACTTCCATTAGCCTTCACATTCACACAAAACAATTCTCCTTACAGTAAATGCCCTTGTAGTTCTTGATTATATCCTTCCTCCTTCTGTCTACTGGTATTTATAATGACTTTCTCATGAGAAAAAGTATAGGCTTTGTAAATTCTTAAAAAAAAAAAAAACACCACTGTAAAACTTGTTTTATTTGAACTTGCTTCATACGTTTGCTTTGGTAAAAAGGTTTCCGTGAGTTCTAGTTTTCTTCATAGAGCTGAAAACTCACACCTGTTAAACCTGGGGATTGACTAGCTGGTAGGGCTCAAGGAGCTTTCTTTGTCATAACACTACCCATGACACCTGAAATGTGGCAACAGAAAGTCATTCTGATTATTGTTAGGAGCTCGGACCAAACTACTAAATCATAAGTATCCTCATCTTGAGCTAGAGTACAGCTAGTTGATACATTCTGAGGGACTTAGGCATGCAGAGTAGTAGTAATGTACAAAGGATGGTACATTCGTCATGGAAGTTAACCATATTGTGCCTGTACAGTCTCTCTCCTTATAGTTCTTCTCTCCTTTCTCCTCCTGTACCACATTCATTTTTTTTATATCATCGTGGATACTTTATTTCTTCCTCTTCTGATACATAGACAGCTGTGATGCATGCAGTTTCTGCTACGAGGCCATGAAATTCATCTCAGCCCATGTCCAGCACTTACTTAACAGCTTAGCACCTGCTGCTGTACTCCACTTAGAAAATATAGTATGCAGGAGCAAGAGAGGAAATCTTTGTATATAATATGATAAAGTATATGTAAAGGTTGACAGAAATATTGCTTTCCCATTCACAATTTTTCTCCCTCACCTCATCACATTGTGTGATTCTGTGAGCAATCTCCTTCAACTCTTTCATAGATTTTTCATCTTGGAAATCATAGGGGAAAGTTTCAGTCCATTCCTTTAGGAGCTGAATGATCTTGGCAGCAAAGGATTTCAGCTTTGCCTAGAAAGGAATAACAAGTTAATTACTGACCACAGATACTTCTTACTCCAGAGTGAGTGAATACCTGATGAAGCTTAGCATAAAACTACAGACAACCTTGAAAAATCTTTACATTAGTAGTAGGTGAGGAGGAGGAAAAAAGAACATATTAAACTGCCAGCTCCCTAACTGGTATGATTTAGTCAACTTTCATTATAACCTGGCAATGTCTCTGACCAAATACTTTGAAGATATTTTCAAGGTAAGTTGTATAAAGCTGAGAAGATGACAGGATAGTACAAGTGTCTTGTTTGATTGAAGTCAGTAGGACGTAAGCTGATTTATGCCACCTGAGAGCAGAATACCTTAGTGTTTTAATTAAAATGCATACAAACTGCAGTGCAGAACCAAGAGTCTTTCACGAGAAATGTTCGCAACAAAATTCTTGTTCTATAGAACTTATCAGACCCTCCAGATTGAGCTGTATTTTAAAATAAATAAATGACAGAAAAGATGTGTGTGTTCTCTCCATAAAATCTAAGTTAAATTGGACTTTGAAAATAAAATGTTGGCTCTTATTCAAAAAGCCACCAGCTACAGAGGGAGAGCTGTTTTCTAAGTTCTGTTGTTACCAGTGAATCTTCTAAGGCTTTTCATCAGCTAGACCTGATCTGGATGCCAGTTATTCCAGTATCATAGCAATAGAGCTGTATCAGTAAATTCAAAGGAGTAATCTTGTAAAACTGGGAGAGTGTGTGCTAAGATAACTTTCAATGAACAAGAAGAATCAAAACTTAATTCACGTTATGTCTATCTCCCCACCTAACCTGTGATGCACTAAGAAAAAGAGGAAGCTTTCATTTGTGTTTACCTCCCTACTTGTGTAAGCTAAAGAAGTTCCATTACACAGCAGTTCCTCCTTACTGCGAGCAATGTAATTTCCTCCTTGTGCTCTCCAGTAGCCTCTTAGGGGTTATAGAAAGTCACTTAGCACGTGAATGTCACTACAGGAAATGAATTTTATTTTAAAACAAGTAGAAAACGTCTTACAAGAATTGGTAGGAACTCCTGCCCAAAAGCATCTTCTGATCACAGTATCTCCCTTATTTAATTAAAACCAAAGTCCACCACACTAGATTATTTTTTGTATGTGTTTTCTGTATCTTACTGGCATGCTCTGGCACTAGTTCTCAATGGGAACATTAATAATGGTTAATATGAATTTTAAAATTAAACCACGTGCATTTGAATTTTCAGTCTGAAAATGAACCTGTTTGTAAGTCTGAAGGGAATTTTATAGTTTTTTTCAGAGCTGCAAACTGCGCTCTGATAGTATGCTTCTCCTAGTTGTTTTTATTGATAGCATTTCATTGGTCCTGCTAGCGAGAGAAGCACTGAATAGTTGGACAGCGATGGCAAAAAGAAAATGTCACCTTTCTCTTTGCCATCAGGATGAAGGCTTCGACGGCGCAATCTCTGCCAACGCAGTTCCTACGAAGCCCAGCCTCATAGTCCTTCTGCACAGAGTGAGCTAGAGCTTCAAGTTATAGTCATCCGTCCTCCAATTTTGCATGATCATCTACCTCGAGGGAAACATAATTTATGCTTCTTTGTCCAGCAAATGCATGGAGCCTGCCATTATTAAATGAATAATCTGTAGATGATGTTAGAGAATTAATTAATTAGCCAGTTAGTGGGCTTAACGTTTGATTAACATGAACAAGTGCATGCCTACTCCCCTTTTGGTTCACCAAAAGCTTCTACATAACTATTTTGGTATTAATTATCCTGAATATCCCTTCTTTTTAACTTTTGAAACTGGAAAGGAGGGATGGGGGGAAGGATCCAAAATCTTTCCTTTGGCGATGGCAATCAGCTCCATACGAACGCTGACTTTTTTGTGCGTTTGTACACGAGTCATTAGGGTTTGCCTTCTTCATGATGGAAAACTAGGCATCTTTTGCAAGACAAACTGCAAACCATATTGCTCTTCAGGAATATAGGCATAAAAAAGCTTAATATTTCATCAGATGTTTTTAATGCTTATGAAAATGAAGTGTTCTTTCCAACGACAATAATGAAAACCATCAGTACGGCGAAACACGAGATTCTTGTTTCACATGTGTTCTGATGAAACACAAAGCAGTGTGACAGGCTTGGTGCGCATGATTTGTGATAACCTAGATAAAAATCGCACATCCATAGGGGGCAGCAACATGAACACTCATTTATATAGTGCTTGTAAGAAAAGTACCAGCCTACTCTTTCTATAGTTCTACTCCAGATTTCAGTCTCTACTTCGTGAAGCTTGATTTAGGGTTCTCTGGAGTCAATGGGAGTATTTCTCCCAAAAATATTTGTTTGACAAGAAGAATGCTTCTATTAACTTAAAGAACTTCAGATCAGACCTGTGAAGCATGAGACAAAAGACAGACAGGACTGAGAAATAACTACCAATTAGAAAGGAGCAGTAGCAGTACAGTACTTGCAGGAAAAGGATGTTTAATGAGAGTGACCTAGCTGTATTGTTCTCATTTTTGTTTTAAAAAGAACAACTAACTGGAGATAGAAATTGAGGGAAATTACGTTTTTGAAGGGAGCACCTCTGACAAGTTCATATGGAATCACAGCAGACCCACATCTCACTTAGTATCTTTAAGTATTCCAGAAGAGGCAAGACAAGCTTAACAGAACCTAACATTTCTTTCTCTTTCGCTCTGGCTCTCTCTCTCTCTTTTGCTTTCTTTTTCTGTTTTTTTAATCTTTGATTAAAAACATGTCCTCAATCTGTGGAAATAGTACACCACAGTTTTAGCAACCATTCTATCACTGAATAATACTATATGAGAGCTTTTTTTTCAGTCTCGTTTGGCCCCCTCCAATCTCTGATACACTTCTGGGCAGTTAAATTTTATTCTTTATGGTCAAGTTTAACTATTGACTTGTATGTTGATGTCTTGAACTGTGAAACCCTTTCTTTTTATGATTAGCCAAAAGGACTCTAAGTGGGCTCAAAGACAACCCAGAGTTTTTTCCTTTTTAATCCACTTTTCTCTGAGTTGTTTTCTGCAGGACTCGTCTGCTAGTCAGTGACGTTAAAAACAAAGGAATGATAAGTATTGTGGTGCGTAACCTCAGAACCTGGATCCTTGCCATTTCTTTAGCTCACACGCTACTCAGGCAACAAGTCAGCCAGCTTCTTGCTTTAGAATTTGTTTATGCAAATCTTTTATCAGAAACAATCAAATCTGCTTTAACTCTTTTTGCCAGCTACTTCCTGCTACTGAGGCACTTAATTAGAAGAATTAGAAGATGCTGGGAGCTGATGATACCTTAATGGGTTATGACTGTGAATATGTAGAGTGCCTTGGGTCAGTGATTTCTATGCTGCATATGAGATGAACTTTTATTTGTTGCCAAATAGAAAAAAATAAATGTTTGCAAATGCTAGTGGCCAACTTAATCTGTAATACATACAGGTGTTTGCAGTAGAAGTCTGCTAAGCAGTCATTTTAGAGGGGTGTCAAAAGTTTATGTAGTGTTATTCCAAGAATTTTGTTTAGTGGGCAAGAAAAAAGTGTAGTTTATGTTAAGAGGGTAGAAAGGGATCAAGGGCATAGTAAGAAAAGCAGCTAGCAAAGCATGTAAACTAAAGCAGCCTCCCAAACAGCCAAGTTTTATTGTTACCCTGCTGCTTGTTGTTTTTTCTGCAGGCCCATTTCCCAATTACCAGCAGAAGGTGTAAGAGCGTGGGTGTTTGGAATATGAGATGCTCTATTTTATATCCTGTTGTTAGGATGTTTAATGCTATGTCATTTCAGGGTGGAAGCCGTACTTCTTCTGTCTGCCGAAAAGCCAGTCGCACAACGTTACCATTAACACCTTATCTCTAAACAGCCAGTAAATTTAGTCTCCAGCTACTGTTTTGCTTTCAAAAACTCAAAAGTGCACTGCTATTCACACAGAAAAGTTTCATCTTATATCCAGTTATTTTAAAATCCAAATATTTTACCTATGGATTTTGACATTAACTACTGACAGCAGTTAGTCTTCCTCTTCACAAATCTACAGAGAGCTTTACTCGTTTGATGTTTCAGATAATCTCAGCTATCTGTTCCGCCATCTCTTACAAATTACTACCTCTGCTGTTTAGTTAGATGGGAACTGCGGAGCCACTGCAATTTGCAAAGCACCAGTTTGGGTTTGCTTGCTTGTGAAGCAGGTTGGGGTGGTGAGAGGAACTATTATCACTTCTGTGTACAAAGCTGGATGTAGTAGATCTTGCACTTTCCTTCCTCCTATCCCTTCAGATCCCCAGCACCAACATAACTCGTTACATAGCTATTTGGTGAGTGGATCAGGGAACTGACCTGGATGAAAAGTCATTCTGCACCAAGTGGTCATTTTTTTCCTGTAGAGGAAAGTTGTGACATAAGAGCATACACACAGGGAACAGTAACGGAGAAGGAAGCCTCAAGTCAGTATTGCTGTTGAAAACTGAATTGCCAAACCACAGGGTTACCTTCGGTGCTCCCAACTTGAGAGCCCTGATACAACAAGGAGAAAAGGAAGTGGGACTATCGGCGTGCTGCGAATTAGAAATGTCAGCGTGTTGTTTCTCACAATAAAAAATTGATCCAAAGCAGGCTCAGGATTTGAACAACAGTTTAGATCTTTACATATTTGCTTAAAAGAATCCTTCTTTCTGTCACCCTTATGTGCATCCCAGCTTTGACTGAAATTGAAGTATCATACCTTCAATACACTTTTTCCATAATGATGGGACTTCAATGGATTCAAGAGCATATCCAAACTTAGCCAGTCTGGTTTAGCAGTAAATCAAACTAGTGAAACTGCACATTTGCATATGTAAGCACAGGCTACCATTTTAAGTAGTGCATCCCCAAATTTTGTTCAGAGGTGATTTTACTGATTTACTATTAAATTAATTTAAAACACCAATAACTGTTTTCCAGTGTGCCTATAGCAAAATTCTCAGCTTTAATGGCCGTGATGAGGGTGAACGGAGAAAGAGGAATCAGGTTCAGGAAGGAACTTAATGAAAGTCCAGCAGGGCAAAGCAGCTTGCTGGGCAAGTTTCATGCCAGATAATCACTGCTCCAGTGCACAGCACTGACCTGTAGCTTTATGAGTAAAGTCATGTCTCCTACTGCAGCATCTGACTGTTTGCTGGTACATACTGTATGTTTGTGGCTAGCAAAGAAGAAAAAGTGCTTAAAGAAAAAGACACAAATAAAAGTGTATTCAGTAATAGACACTGATTACAATTTCAGTTTATTCTTTATCAATCTATTTAGTTTTACAATGAAAATGAGGGATTGGGAAATAAATGATAGCACAGCTAACTGAGGAAATAATTGGTTCACTTACCTTTTCTGCCTCAGCCCCCGTTTCCAGCTGCTGCTTCTGTTTAATGCAGATCTGCCCCACTTTAGCCAGGAGCTCATGTGGGTGAATGAAGACCCGTGAGCTCAACAGGAAAGTGAAGATGTAGGTCCTCTATGGGAGCAGAGAGAAAAAAAAAAGTTGAATAACTTTAGCAGAAATTCTCTTTCTTTTCTGGAGACTAATAATGAAAGCTATTCCATAAACCACAAATGTAAGTTTCCTTCATTTAAACTTCGTATAATTTTTCCTTCCTCCAAAGACCCAGTGGTCTTTTCCAGCTCTGTTAAGAAGAAATGCTGTGGGCTTCTAGGCTGTGAACTAAGCTGTTGTTTTCAGATTCCCAAACTATTTGTCTTTTTAAAACACCAAACTTATTATACCTAACTAGTCATCACTCACCAAAAAGGCAAATGAAATATGTTCAGTGTAGAGTATTATGCCTCTTGAACACCACTATTTATGCTGCTTTGTTTCTTTAAGAGCGATTGTTTTTCATTTAGCTGCAGAAAATTGCTTCATGTATATTCCAAACCACAGCAGTAACTTTTTCACGTATGGGTTTTTTTCAGTCCTTTTTCTCACATTCACTTACATAGGCTCAAGCTTAGATTGTGACTATATGACAATAATTCAGGTTTAAGTCTGACTTAGCCTATTTGGAGCCTGTTTCAGATTCTTTTGAGTATGAATACTGCTATTAAATTATAATTATAATAAAAATTATTTCTCATTAGAAATAGGCTATTCATTTGTATTTATAAACTGTGATGCATTCTATTCTGAATCATACTCTGGACAGTTCAGTTGATTTAAGAATGCTTTCATATCCTGCTCTTGCTGTAAGCATTTGAAGCTTGACTTCTGTATTTGAATGTAATCCACTGAATAATGAAGGGAGTATCTCAGTGTCATAGACTTTTGTTTTTTCTTTAGGCTTTTCCACAGAATTTAGAGTTAGGAAATTGTTGGGGGGGGGGGTTCCAGATTTCAATTAACCTACGTTACGTTTGCAGTGTTTATTGTTACTTTGCACCATGGTTGGTGCAAATGTGATTGGCGGGCTACAACCAAGTGTGTCTATAAACAGTCAATGTGTGTATATACCATCTTGGATTAGGCAATTAAAATGAGACATCTAAAAATTTAAGATCAGCCATCTAAAATATGGCATCTGTAGTATTAGCTACTGAATTCTACTGCTTGTAGTCTCTAAAACATGCTTGTAGTCAAACAATAATGGTATACTAATCACTTCAAAAAGTTTATGGGATTTATCTCTCTAATTACAGAAAATGCACTCTTAATGAAAAATTTTTCCCTTTCACTAGTATGCATGAATACTAGTGAATAATACAAACTTAGCACTAAAAATACCCAAATATCTGAGGTGGGAAAAGGTATGTTTTACACCTTAAAAGAATTTAACTAGCAGTCACAGTGTTCTAGGAATGACTGAACTGTAGAATAGATTAAGCATACATCTATTGAAGGTCCAACTCTGTCCCCAGTTTGTGGAAGAAGCTAATGAAGGAACAGAATGAATGGGAGCGAGATAGATGTTCATTCTGATTTGGAGATCTTATTAGCACTGATGTTCATGTATTAAATTAGGAATAGCATTAATTCTGGCTGTACCATTAAAACTGGAGTTAATTTGTAGTCCTTGCCTTGTCTATTGTTTATGAATAGAGGAAGAAAGGAGAAGGGTTAGGTTAATCACATGAATAGTCTGGGTCAGGCTCTTGACTAGCACTTCCACTGAAGTGTCTACAGAACGCTGACGGCTGAGGCCACCTAATGAACGGGCTCTCAGCAAATTCAAGCAGGTGGCCAGGGCAGGTGACAGGACATACGGATGGCATGGCCTCACGTTATGATGATATGGTTACAAACATTCTGCATATATGTAGGTTGGGATAACTTAAGAAACAGGGGTTTTATTCAGCATTTTGTTCGTGTATCTCTTCAGAATTTCAGAGTTTATTTTTACATTTACAGTGGCACTTAAAAAATTCAATGTAGCTCTTACACCTGCATCTAGAAACAGTTGGTGCCAACATGTCAGCTTTGGAGAAACTTTATAAAAATCTATGGTAGTGGATGCAATGTGTCCTGGACACAATTTAAAATTCGGCTGAAGAACCAACTTGATCCGCAAAAGGAGACTTGTTTGTGTTATGGGACAATTTATCTTATCTTTTTTCTTATACATGTGAGAATGATCCTTAACTGATACACTCCTAATTCAGAATTAAAGCGTGAGAAAGAATAGTGAGTTGTTTTTTTTTTTTTTAAATAGACTATGCCTGGTTTTCCTCTATTGTTTTTATAGCCAACTTCTGGGCTCATTTCTATCAGTGTTGTTCCTGACTTTAAAGCTGTGAGTCTGGCCTGTCTGGGAAAGGAATTTAGCTGTTGGGTGTGCCAACTGTCATTGGGCTGTATGAAAATTTTTATTCTGGAAACATGAAGCAGCTCTTGCTTTTACCCTATTTTGCAATTATGGGAGTAGCAGAATAAAAACAAACTCTATGGACTTTGAGTGAGACCTTCATCCTTTACCCACTTTCTTGTGTTTTTGGAGTTTAAAAGCCTGTCAAAAAAGATGCCTTCACATGTCTGTAGCAGGCAACCAAAATGTAAGTTGCACTGCCCTGCCAGTGACCTTAGCTCTGATAAGCTGGAACACGTTCTTCTAAGGAAAGATATAATTTTGCTTCTCACACTAATTCTAGTCTAGGTCTCGTTGGTAGAAGTTTGTATGATGTGGGATAATGTTTATCCAGAGTGAATCTGAGAAAGCCTCGCTTCGAGTATCATCTCTATATTCTTATACTGTATTAATCCCAATGACCTGTGCTTTTGTTTGGTCTCTTTGACAGTGTTTTATGTGATGTTCAAAAAGTACAGAACTGGCAAGGTACAGGAAAATACATGGGCATAAAAGAATGTAGTGTCTTTCCATTTTAGGCATATTCATGTCTCTCTGTAATCAGTAATATCTGTACTGGACCCCTGCAGTGCTTTCCAGGCAACACTAGACTGCCACGTTTGAGAAACAAATTATTATACTTCTGGCTCCCAACTGATGTATTGATTCACTTTTTTTTTTTTTTTCTCTTTGACGTCACTTAATAACTGGGATCAGGTTCAGTACTTCAGAAAAGATTTGTTCTGTGATGGCCAGAGATGTCGGTTTACAACATCTGGGTACCTGGTCTTATTTCTTAGGTTTCTATTTTTGATAGTGCTACTGTTTATGCTCACATAGATGAGTAACTATAATTAAGAAGCAAGTTAAAAGTCATACGTTTAACAGAAGTATTGAGCCCCATTGCCCTGCCTTTATGCTAATAACCACTTCCTGTCCAATAAAGAAAATTTAGGTTGAACTAAGCCATACGCTTCAGTTTCATAGTCTCAGTGGTTAGAAACATAGTTGTTTGGGATAGGAAATATTTCATACGCACATCATGTACCTTATCTAGCCTGAGGATTTCTGTGATTTGTTACACCTGTAGTCCTAGTCACATTATAAGCAAGATCTGTTATAACAGTGTAAACACCCATAATCTCTCGTAGGTGGTCTCTCTGATCATGAAGACAATGATTTGGAGAAGGAAATTCAGCTATGATCCTAGCTGGTTTGATAAAGAATGATTTTTAAAATGCTTCCATAAGCTGTCAGATTGAAAATTAAGCTCCACTTATCCTACTAAAGTGACAGATATTCAGGAGCACAAAAAAAAAAAAATCCTTTCTGCACTTGGAACAACTTAAACTGACTCAAAAGGGGCTTGTGTTTTACAGGAGAAAAAGAAGGCAGATTCCTTTAGTGCTGAAAGTTGTTGCTAAGAGATGAGCTGAATTATATATTTAAAAAAAAAAAAAAAAAGGGAAGCGAGTGCACAAGACTAAAGAAGGAATTGTTACTTTCTGACCCAAGAATGTACTAATGTCATCTTTAGGGAGGAAAAAAAGAAAAATATTTTCTTTGTGCACTCACTGCTCATTCTGGAACTTCTTGTTTGTGAAATATTTGCCTGAAACATTTTCTTGCTTGGGCACAAGGGTTGCAGACTGGTACATTCCATTCCTAACCTCCCGAACTCCTCCGTCTCATGAGTATACATTTTCCTATGTGCTGAACTAGTCCCTGTACACAAACAAGCCTCGAAAGAGCAGTACACAAGTGTAGGCCCTTATCTCTCCTGTCCTCCCTCATCTGTCTCCTGTTCTGCCAACACGGCAAGTGCATTTTTGTTTTGCCTCTGTAACCAGCACAGAAAGATATTCTGTGGTTGGTTTCTCCTCCCCCTCTCCACCCCCCCCCCTTTTTTGTGTCTGAAAGGTTACTGTAATC